ACGATCCTCCTGCCTCAGCCTCCTGAGTGCTGGGATTACAGGCGTGCGCCACCACGCCTGGCTGTGCAATATATTATGAATAATTGATTGAGTGAATGAACAAATCAACAAAGGAACAAAGGAACAAATGAATGAATGAGTGAATGAATAAGAGAGTATCCGCTCTGCGCTTCTCCCAGGGGCCAGCTATCTCACTCCTTGGGCAGCCAGTAGGACAAAATAAATCTTTAAAAGTTAGATTTTTTTTCTTTTGGACATAAACGTATTCTTCTTTTAGAGATAGGCAAGATTTCCAACCTTCTACTATGCAGTCGGGCAACACGCCCTCCTGCCCTCAGCCTGGAGGAGGCAGCAGCATCCGCAGACGCCAGCCCCAGGGCTTCTGCCCAGGCTCTGCCCACAGGCAGGGGAGACAGCAGGCTGCAGAGGGCCTGGAGCAGTAAATGAAACCTCCGGCGTGTGCCATCTCATGGCCTTCCCCCTTGCTGCTTCTTCTTTTTTTTTTTTGGTGCCAAGAATCAAACTCATGACCTCAGGCTTGCCAGGCAGGCGCTTGTGCCACTGAGCTATAGCCCCGGCGCTTTCCCCCTTGCTTCTGCTCCCTGCTATGAAAGACCCTACATGCCTGGGCCCTGGGAGACGATTTGAGACAAATGGGCCCCTCCATCGCCTCAGAGATAGCTTTAAATAAGTCCTTATTCCTTTTCACCACAGTAGATGGCCTCCTTTGATTTGGTCAGCAGACCTAAGCTTCCGGACCTAAGTAGCCAGAAGCACTTGGCCCCAAGGCTTCAGGTCCCAAGGGGAAGGTTTTCTGCAGAAGGGAAATATGAGAGATGAGGAAGGAGGGTGGGCAGGGTGGACAGAGACAGGGAAACGAGTGGGGTGGGAAAGATAATCCAAGGGCACCGCATGTATGCGCAGACACCAGAACGAGCCCTGGTGTTCTGTGTAACACATAGTAGTTAAACATAAGAAAGAAAGGAAGGAAAGGGTTTCCGCCAGAGTCCTGAGGGCCTGGCTTTTGTGCCTCTCTCCTCCCCAGGCTGAGTGCAATTTCATGGGCAAGGGCAGCCCTCTGCCAGTCCTAGAGGGAACGGAGGGGCACAGGACAGGGCAGGGGATTCACCTCCACACAGGCACCAGAGAAGATAGCCAAGCCGTCTCTGATTGAGAAAACTCTGACCTGGGAGTGTGTGGGTTGCCTCAGCCTCCTCCTCTGCTCGCTTCGGCTGTGTTCTCCACCCTCCGGCTCTGAGTCATGCTCACAACTTCCCTCCCTGCCTCAGGCCTCCTCACCACCTCTGCTCAAGGGCTTCTTCAGTACCTTGGTCCGGCTGTCCTGCGGCAGCCCAGGAGCTCCGAGCCGTGCATCGGACCTTCCAGCCATGAGCAGGACCTGCACAGCCCTCCTCTTGTTTAGGGGTGAGCCTGGGGCCCTGGCTGGAGACCAGGGTTTGCGTGGTAGGGAGAGAGACTTGACTTTTAGGGGAGGCTGGTCCATAGGCGTTGGGACCTGTAGTTTGTGGAGGAAGAGGATATTGGAAACCAATTTGGGGGGAATTCAAGGGATGCCTTGATTATCTAAGGATTTCCAGGCGGAATGAATCATTTTTGTGCTTTGTCCATGGTGCCTGTGTGGCCCCCAAATCTTCCTAACCTCTGCTTCGTAGACGTTCCGGGGTAAAGGTGGGGAAGGGCTGTCTTCAGTTGTGGAGATGACTGTCCCTCTGTGGAAGCAGAGAATTGAGCCCGGGGAGCAAGGTGAAGACTATCTGTGATCGAGTGAAGCACAGAGGCGGGATGGGTCAGGAGGCCCTGGGGTATCAGGATCGGGTGTCAGGGACCCGGACACAGAGTGGGGAGGCGGGAGGAGGACCCTTTCCAAAGCTCTCCTCTCCCTTCCTCAGCCTTAGCTGCCTCTCTCGGCTTCAACTTGGACACAGAGCGGGTGACACGATTCCATGTGGACAGCCCTGGGTTTGGACACAGCGTGGTCCAGTATGCCAACTCCAGGTGAGGACAGGTGGTCTCTGGCCTTCGGCGCTCATTGCTTTCTTCCTACATGAAGCCCTGTACCTTCCTGGCCCGTATCCCAGTGGCACGACTTGGATGCTGGCTGTCTGCTGGGTGTGGCATCTTTCCCCAAGTGATGAATATTTAGGCTGAAAGGATACGCTGCCTTACTGTCACGGTAATTACAGCGGATACTCACTGGGCACTTTCTAAGCGCCAGGCGCTGTGACCTGCACAGGACAATGGGGCCGTAATGTAGCTTTCACAACCTTAGGAAGAATCAGCCTTTCAACAAATATTTATTGAACACCTACTATCTGCCTCAGGAGCTGGGTGTACACCAGAGAATAAAATGGATCACCATGCTACCCTTGCGGAATTTAAATTGTTACCAATCTCCATTTTACAGATGGGGAACTGAGGCAGTGAAGCAAACTTGCCCGGGCGGAAGCGGGGTTCTGGAGTCTACACTCTGAGCTGCAGTGTGCTCTTTCTCCCCGCAGGGTGGTGGTTGGAGCCCCCAAAGAGATCAAGGCTGTGAACCAGATGGGTGGCCTCTACGAGTGTCACTACCACACGGGCGGGTGTGAGCCCGTCTCCCTGACGGGTGAGTTGCTGCCCTGCTGGGACCCAACCCGGGGCTCCCATGGCAGCTTCAGCTCTGTCTGCAGACCCCAGTCCGGAGAGGCTTTGCGCATCACGCCCCTGCACGCTCTCGGCTCCGTCCTTCGCCTGTCAGGCCTCCTTGTCCCCCGGGGGCTGTGACCTCTGCCCAGTTCTTACGCAGTCTCCTCTGTCCCTGATGGTCATCATGCACATGTCTGTCTCCTCAGTCCCCCCCGAGGCGGTGAACATGTCCCTGGGCCTGTCCCTGGCAGCTGCCACCAACCCCTCCCAGCTGCTGGTGAGCTGTCTCGGGTCGCAAAGGTTCTTTAGGGGAGGCTGGGCCCCAGGACTGGAGTCTGGTGGAGGATGTGAGCGCTGGGTGTGGGGGAGGGGTGGCAGCAGGGCAACCTCTTCCACCGGCCCCCTCTGTCCCTAGGCATGTGGCCCTACTGTGCACCAGGCATGCAGACAGAACATATACTTGATGGGGCTGTGCTTCCTGCTGGTCTCCCCTGCCCAGGGGTACAAAAAACTTCCGGATGCCCTGCAGGGTGAGTGTGTGGGCCACCAGCTCCTTCGGGGAGCCCACATATTCAACTGGGGGTGTCATGAGGTCAGAGACTTCTACCAGAACAGGTAAGAAAGGGAGGGAGTCTGGAAAAAATAATTACTGGATGATGTAGCAGCTCCAAGCAGATGAGTGTCACTGCCTGTGTTGACACACTGCCCTGTCATCATTCCCCTGTTCTGCCTCTTGGCCTCAGTTTCTTCATCTGTCAAATGGGGCTAACAACACAGCCAGTACCGAAAGTAACGCAAGATGATCCACAGTACAGTGCCTGGTGTGAGGGGAAGGTTGCCTTAATGCAAGCTGCTGTTATCCCCAGAGGCTGGGATTTGTTTTCCTGCACTGTGCCCTGGGGTATGACACTTGGGTTGTACATCAGTCTGGGAGATGTTGGTGAGGGTGCAGTGTGGGCAGCGCATGCACGCATATATGTGTGCACGTGAACACGTGTACATGTGTGTATATGCGTATATTTGTGTGCATGTATATATGTGTATGTGTGCATATATTTACACATGTGTATATATGTGCACATATGTGTATATAGATGTGTATATATTTACATATATGTGCTCATGTGCACACATATGTGTATTTATGTGTGTATGTGTGTATACATTTTTATATAGATATGTATATGTGTGTATTTATGTGTGTATATGTGTATATGTGTGTATATGCATATGTATATATGTGTATATATTATGTGTGTACATGTGTATGTGTGTGTGCATTTATATGTGTATATGTGTGTATATGTGTGTGCATATATATGTTTATATAGATGTGTGTATACGTGTATATGTGTGTATATATGTGTGTATATGTGTATGTGAGTGTATTTATGTGTATATATAGTATGTATATGTGTGTATTTATGTGTGTGTATGTGTGTATATATGTGTATATGTGTGTGCATTAATGTGTATATGTGTATATATATGTGTGTATATGTGCGTATATATGTGTGTGGCTCATCAAAAAATACAGTGTGTAAGTTTTAAAAAATGATTTCAGTAAATGACACATTACCATGAATACCTCTCAAATACGACCCTTTGATTTGAACGTACTTATTCCATCCTTTCTGGAGTTTTTCGAGTTCTCTTTTGTGGCTGGCCACACCATCATGGCTGGCTCCATGTCCTGAAAGGATTCAAACTGTTTGCGCCAGTGTCTGTCGAGAAAAAGCGTTATGGCGTGTCCTCACCCACCTCACTCCCCAGCCCGGCGCCGTGGGGCTCCTGTCTCTCCCTCAAAGTCAGAATGACCATGGGGGGGGGGACATTTTGAATGGATTCAGGACACTGAGGCAGCCAAAGAGGACTCCAGAACTGTTTCAGAAAGTAGCAAGAATGATGGGACAAGTGTGTTCAAAGCCGGGGGCGTATTTTGAGGGAGGTTAATAGCAGTGTGTCTTTTACTGTAAGAAAATTTTAAAAAATTAAACATTCATTGCATTTCTGATTATATCACATTACATTACGTGTATGTATCTGTGCGTGTGTGTGTGCGTGGGCGTGTTCAGGTACTTGTCACGTAGATGGAGACACAGGGCTTGGCTTTTCTGGTGCTGACGGCATGGGAGATAAGCAAGCAGAACAGTGAGCTTTTCAGACCCAACCTGGCTTCAGCTTCACTTGGGGACACTGACATTTGGTCCCGATAGATGCCCTTTACAGCCCCTGTTGGCTCAGGACTCCACCCCCGGGGGTGATCGGAACACCCCGGACACCAGCCTCCCTTTAGAAGGCCTCTGATGCGGAAAGGAGAAGCGGGCAGGAGAAGCTGGAAGAGCTTCCCCTTCTGCGGACAGGTTCTGCTTCTGCTCAGGAGCGGGTGGGGGCCCATATTCCAGCTACGAACAGAACATGGCCAAGGTGGGGCTGTTGTCAGCGACAACGTTAAAATTATTGGACAAAAGTGCAGCTCAGCTTCTATCTGTTGGGACAGACTATGGCCAGGGCAGGCGCCAGATCCCTTCCTTGGGGGATGCTGAGACACAGGGGAAGGCGGGCTCAGGTAGAGGGCAGTTGTCCCACGTGGCCCAGGTAGAAAGAGGGGCTCTCGGCCTCTCGTCTAGATCGGAGTAATATTCACTTTTTTTTTTTTTTAAATCAATCAACCAGGTTGGCTGAGCAGGGGGAGGCAGTTGAGTCACAGCAGCCTCTTTGTGAGAGTCTAGGAGTCTCAGGCCCCTGTTTGGGGCAGGTGTTTAGGGCAGTCCTGACAAGGACGGGATCGGCTGAGGTCGGGGGAACGGGGCTGGGAGAGCCAGGAGGTCCCGGGCTCTTGGGAATGTCCCTTGAAGGCCCAAGGCCACTTCTTTTTCTAGAGTGCCCGAGACAGGATCAGGACATCGTGTTCCTGATCGATGGCTCCGGCAGCATCTCGTCCTCTGATTTCGCTAAGATGATAACCTTTGTGAGGTCCGTGATGAGCCAGTTCCCAAGGCCCAGAACCCAGGTGTGCCCATAGGGAGCTTTGCTGGGGCGGGGGGCACTTGCTGTGCAAGTGCTGGGGCCCCCAGTGAAGTAACCTCAGCCCCTGGCCCGTGTGGGTCTCCCAGTTCTCTCTGATGCAGTTCTCACACCAGTTCCGGACACACTTCACTTTCAAGGACTTCACCTCCAGATCAGACCCTCTCAGGCTGTTGGACTCCGTGAGACAGTTAAGAGGGCTCACCTACACGGCCTCAGCCATCAGAGAAGTCATGTGAGCCTAGGCTCCCCCCCCCCTTCCCCAGGACCCACTCCTCTTCTGGCCCTCACCTGCCTCCCTGAGAAAGAGCCTTGCAGAAACTGAAAAGCGCCCCCTTGCCAAGTTGGGGACCTCTCAGTGGGACCAAGGCCTCCCAGAGGCAGGGATGTCTCTTCACTTTCACAAAGGTGTCAGAGGCTGGTATCGATTTTTCATCAACCTCTGGACCCTCTTCTTTCCTGACAGGAAGCAACTGTTCACCGCCCAAAGTGGGTCCCGCAGGGATGCCACTAAGATCTTGATTGTCATTACTGACGGGCATAAAGAAGGCGATAGACTGGATTATGAGGATGTCATCCCCGAGGCTGAGGCGGCAGGCATTATCCGCTATGCAATTGGGGTAGGGCCACGGGGCTGGGCGGGGGTGGGGGGTGCCTGGCCGCCACATCCTCTCCGGTCTACTTCCCTTTTCTGGGTAAAAATCCCCAGCTCCCCAGCTCCCCAGCTCTTCTTGCATTTGGATGACAACTTTGCCCCAGCCCGGGGACCCAGGATTCTTTTCCTGGAACTCCTCCATGCTATCAGAGGCTCCTTCTCCTCCTCTGAGTTGTAAGACTTCCCCACCAGTGTTCTCGGAGCCTGTCCACACCCAGGACGTATCAGCACGTCATGTTTATTATTTTCATGAGTGGGTCTCTGCTGGCTACAGGTTGGAGCGGCTTTTCAAACTACAGCTAACCGGCAAGAATTAAATCAGATTGCATCGAGTTCCTCGTACATATTTAAAGTGGAGAACTTCGATGCTTTGAGGGCAATCCAAAACCAGCTGAAGGAGAAGATCTTTGCCATCGAGGGTAAGTCAGGGACAGAGCTGCTCCCTCTGAAAGCCTCGGCTGCAGGTGACTTTCTCGTTTGGCTCTAGACTCCCACGTCAGGCACTAAGATTTGCTGTAGCCTCTGATCTCCAGTCCTAAGATTTTCCTAAGAATCCTTCTTGGGCAGGGCATGGCTCATCTTTCTCCCAGGAAAGGTCAGCATCGTACCTTCCTTCCCCAGGTACAGAGGTGGTAAGCAGTAGCTCTTTTGAGCTGGAGATGTCCCAGGAGGGCTTCAGCGCCGTGTTCACCCCTGTGAGTGACGTCCCTTCAGGCAATGATACGGTGGGGGGAGACAAGGGTGACTGGTGGGTGGGTGTGTGGAGTCGGGGCTGGTGTTTCTTTGGGTTAGGCTGTCGTCTTGCTCCAGCCTGCTCAGCCTGGAAATCGTTTCCTCTCAGGATGGACCAGTTCTGGGGGCTGTGGGAAGCTTCGGCTGGTCTGGAGGTGCCTTTCTGTATCCCCCTAATGGGAGCCCCACCTTCATCAATGTGTCTCAGGAGCGCGTGGACATGAGGGACTCTTACCTGGGTGAGAGGAGGTGGGCTGGGGGGCAGGCGAGGGACCCACTGCTTCGAGGGAAGGAAGCCTGGGCGCTGAAGCCCGCACCC